CCTTCGATCATCCATCAACTACCTTCGATCATCCTTCAACTACCTCCGATCAGTCATTTTTACCTTCAAAACATCCTCTTTACCTCCGATCGATCTTTCTTACCTTCGATCAATCTTTCTTACCTCCGATCGATCTTTCTTATCTTCGATCAATCTCTCTTACCTTCGATCGATCTTTCTTATCTTTGGTTGGTCGTTCTTATCTTCGATTGCTCTTTCTTAATTTCAATCAATCATACTTACCTTTGATTGCTTGTTCTTACAGTTACACACCTCCTACATCAATCTGCCATGGCCTTCGTCAAATACTCTCCTGATGTAAAGGTACTGGTGATTCGTCTGTGTCTGAAAGGCCACTCTCCAGCATTCATCAATCATATGCTAGGTCTCAACATCTCCGAACAATTGTTTGTGCGATGGATGAAATTATTTGAACGTACACAATGTGTTGTATGTAATCCTGACTACTACGAGACCCGTGGGGCGCCAAGAATACTCTCTTCCGAAGACCGTGAATTTGTCAGTGAAATACTCGATGCTGACCCCACTCTTTACCTCGATGAGATGGCTCGACAGCTGTTGGAAGCCAAGGGTGTCGACATTTCAATTGCAGCTCTTGCAATTGAAGTTCGGGACAGACTGGCAATGACATTGAAGGTGGCTCGAACCGTTCATCCAAACCAAAATGCCGAGCTTAGGGCAAACTTCTTCCAGGTGATCGCTGACATTCCATCTGAATCCTTGATCTTTCTTGGTAAGTCTGTTATACTCTTTGACAGTTTCATATTTTCTGAAATTGATATTTGATTTTACATACCAACAATTATAGACAAAAGTGCAATTGCTAAACGCAACTTGTATCGCAAACGTGGCCAAGCCAAACGTGGACAAAGAACCAAGAGACTCTTACGCCCAACCTTTTCAAACCGATATACCCTACTTCCTGCAATGTCCATGAGTGGATGCTTGTCTTTGAAGGTGCAGGAGGGGTCCTTTTGTCGAGAGGACTTCGAAGATTATCTTGCTCACCATCTTGTAAGTCGTCCAACTTTTACTTCTACTTCCAAACTGCTGTGACCTTTGCTCACCTCTTTCTTTCTGAAATCTAAGCTTCCGATGACTAATCCATGGCCTCAGCCCAACAGTTGCATTGTCCTGGATAACGCGTCCATCCACCACGGCGGCAACATTGACGATCTGTGTGCCGAATTGGGGGTGCGCATCGTCTATCTTCCACCATACAGTCCAGACTTCAATCCAATTGAGAAAGCCTTTGCGGTCATCAAGGATAGGCTTTGTCAAAGTCAACTTCTTACCACCGCAGTTGATGCCGAAGAAGAGATGGAGATGATTTATATTACAGCTCTTGAAGTCATCACTCCAGAGCTTGCTATTAATTTGTTTCATGGGTCCATTTACCCTTAAAGGTATTTCAAAAAGTTGTTGCCCAGGTTATCTTAGTTTATGTAAAAAAGTTTGTGTGCGATAAAGTTGTTTCATTTTGTTTGTCAAAAACTCAAGCTGAATCAGAATTTGTAGTACAAAAGAATCAAAATTAGTGAATACTTTTCTCACAGAGAGATACAAAAGAAAAGTAACTGCAGAGCATCTGATTTGAGAGAGCATGTGGGTTTTGAAAACACAATAAAACAATGTGCTTCAAAAGCATTTCAGTTGAAATGTGTGTTTTTGAGAGAACAATACGTAAGTTGAAGATAAAAAGGACAAAAATGAATTGGGGCATACTTCAAGTTGTATAAAGGCTATCGATGATACCCAGAACAACATCAGTGTGGTCTTAGACAAGCTAGGCTCCAGATTTCCTGCTGATGGAAACATGCACTGAATCTGGGGTTTGAACCCAGGTGCATGCCTCAATGTTTCTCTAAGCCATATGCATATACTGCTACCACTGCGGGAAAATCGCTGACGTGAGCCTGGCTCGCGCCACCAACACCGCAACCGCTACGCTCCGCTCAGGTTTTCGACCTATTTTGGGAGCGGAGCGCAGTGCTGCGCTCAATCTCACTATGCACAATATCGCTCTTTTTTATTTTTTTTCTTACTTTGGTGTGCGTAGTGCAACACCAGTGTGCGGCGCTCATCACTACAAAAGACCTGAAAAGTCTAAAAAAACCATAAAAAAGAGACTCGAGCCCTGGCTCTGAGCGGAGCGATATGCTTCGCTCAGGACTTTCCTCTCCTCGGAGCGCGGTGCGCAGCCTCCGCTCTGGGTAGCGGAGGTTTGAGCGGATGCCAAAACCGCTCCGCTCACGCTCCGCTCGCGCTCATTCGAGCGGAGCGGTTGCGGTATTGGCGCCACCGTGACGTGAGCCACGGGCTGGCCCCGACCTGAAGCCAACCAAATTTCACACGCGGGCGTGACAAGAGCCATTGGCCTGCTGAAGCCATCCACTTAGTCAATGTCTGCCCGTCAGTTTTCATAGTACTACACAACTTTTCATGTGCAAATCAAATAGGGCGGTTCAAGTAGGAACGAGCGATCAGGTGTCACGCCAAGTCCCGAACAGTCTTATGAGGTCGTCCGCAACTTAAAATCCTTGTCCGCGCTATCACAAACGCTGTATAATTTGTTTTTAAAGCTATGTAAAATCAGGTACATTTGTTCCGAAACGGGTTCTTTTTTTTTGGGGTGGCACCGACATCTTCGTTTCCTCGTTCAAATATGTTTTTTTCATTTGGTTCCTTGTATTTTTTTTGGGTGTTTGTGCTATCAATTGATTTCCTTGGAATTTGGGAAGCATCAGCGTTCAATCCATTTCCCAATCAATATCCAAAATATTTTCCAAGATCCTCATTCTTCAAAACTGCCTTTCGAAGATCATCGACCTCCCCTCAGTTGCCCACGATGCCTCGCGTTTCCGAGAGAAGCTCTGTGTTACGTGACCTGGCCAACTTGTCTGTCGCGGCCCACATGGAATCCGACCTAAGAATGCCTGGCCAAGCTCCCGACCCCAAAAACCCAACAGAAGGTGAACTTCTGTTCAGCGAAGATCCACTGATGGCAAACTTATATGATGAGCTATTTGATCAAGAAGGGCAATGGGGCGAGTGGCTTGGCCATGTCACCTCCAGACGCTACCTCAATGATAGGATATCCGCTCCCCTGCCCACGCCATTTGACTTACGCGACATGCTACGAAGCCGACGCACGGATTTTCGCCAGGCGATGTGTACTACCCCAGAGGGTTTTCAAGCACTGCTCGATATGATCATCTCACACCCCGTTTTCGTCTCGTCAAGCAACAATCCTCAACCACCAGTCGAGAAACAGCTGGCCATTACCCTAGAGCGACTTGGAAGCAACGGCAACGGTGCTTCCGTGGGCCGATTTGCCCGTAACTATAAGATAGGGAGAGGCTCGGTGATTAATTGTACCCGTTGAGTTATAACAGCCATTCTGGATGTAGGCGAAAACTATCTCACGTGGCCAAATTCACATCGGCGCAAGGCTATCTCGAAGGTCCTCGAAAGGGACGGTTTCCCAGGTTGTGTGGGATTTGTCAACGGGACAACAATCCCTCTTTTTCAAAGGCCTGGTCGCGACGGGGAAGTCTTTTTCGACAGGAAACATCGATACTCAGTCAACGTCCAGGTCGTATGTGACTGCGACCGCCGAATCACATACGCCTACGCCGGTTGGCCTGGGTCATGCTGTGACAGCACAGTTTATTCAAAAAATGAGATTGCCAATGAACCAGAAAAGTACTTTGATGACGGTATGTTGAATTGTATTTGGTTCTTTCATTTGGCAAATGACTGACTAAAATTACGTATCATTATAGGTGAATACATCATTGCCGATTCTGCTTACATACCATCAGAAACAGTCGTACCATCTTACAAGGGCCAGGCGGCGGAGGTGGATAGAAATAAAGAGTTCAATTGGTGTGTGGCCAAGGCTAGAGTGCGAAATGAGCACTGCATCGGTATCCTCAAGTCACGTTGGGCGTCACTTCAAGGATTAAGATTGTCTTTGAACAGCCGGAGTGACATGAATCACATCCTCAGGTGGATCCGCTGTTGTATCATCCTACATAATATGCTCGCGGATCTCGGGAACACGTGGGAAGAAGAAGAGGACAACCTTGTGTTAAGGGAACCAGGCGAAGCCGGAAGGTTGCGTCCTGGGGTAGCTGCAGATCCTATGGGCATTGAACGAGGAAGGGTGAAAAGAGAGACAGTGAGAGACCACGCCGTTACGTACAATTGGCAAAGCGGTGGCCTCCCAATTGTCTCATGAGCGATTCTGTTTGTTTTTGTTTTGTTCTTGTAATTCTCTCTCAAGTGACTCTATCTTTATTTGTCTTTGTTTCTTTCGAGTTTGATTCATTTTAATTCTCTCTCAAGTGACTCTATCTTTATTTGTCTTTGTTTCTTTCGAGTTTGATTCATTTTGTTCCTCTTGGCCTCACTTTGTTTGCTTGGTAGTTTTTGTGTTTTCTTATGTTGTTTCCCATTTGAAATATATCCGACCGATTCAAATGGCACCCTTCTCACGCAACCGCCAGAGTTAAGAAATTCTGAACCCACACCTGAATAAATTCTTCAATGAATTGTCTTTGTTTGAGACAAGGGAAACCTACTAGATCAAGACACCTGAATCAATTCGGTAACGAAGAATTGTCTTTCTCAACAGGACTGTCGAGGTCTGGCGCTCTTACTGGGGTGCAGACTCCCTGATAAAATTTGATCGGCGCAGTGCATAAGATATTTTCCGATTTCATTGCTGATGCAAAAGGGCCATTCAGAAATTGCACAACGCTTGAGAACAAAGTGACAGATTCTTCGACAGAGAGTTTACAAATAATACGGGGAGAAACTAACCGGAAAACTGAAAAACTGAAAAGAAACGATACGGCCCATAACAAAAACTACTAAACGGAACTCTGAAAAACTGTGAAATACAAACGATACGGCCCATAACAAAAACTGCTGTGCGCCAGAGATGGCAAAAAAAATACAGAGTCACAAATGGCCTACGTGCGAGAATGGCCTACTTGCGAGAGAAGGTATAAACATGGTCAGTTACACACTCCAGGAGAACAAAACGAACTTGAGCTGCTTACTATAAGTGTTCTTCAGGATATATCAGGCGAAGGAATGCTTCAAGCTCCTGAGGGCTCTTGCCCTCCATGACAAGGCGTTGACAAAACGCCTGGCGTTCCTTTTGAGAGTCTTGAGCCAATTGCCGAGCACGAGCTTCGCGCTGTTCCTCGCGGTCGAGAAAATATCGTTCTTTGTCCCACTTCAAAGAGGAGATGCGAGACTCTGATTCCACACGCATTCGTTCAGCCTCAAATTCCTGCCTCCACTTGTTTGACTCTGCGAGCATTTGTATCTTTGCCTCATTACCTTGTTGCAATGCGTGGGCGAGGGCGTGTTTATGCTCCTTGCTATGTACCGTTGACGGATCGATCGAGGGAAGCGGGTTCAAAGAACGGCGCGATAGAGTTGTTCGAGATGAGCCACGTAGTTGGCTAGCGGAACCCGAGGGCTTACAAACTGTGTCGTCCTCAGAACTATCGTCCAATGCCATTTCTTCAGGTGTCAAACCTGCTACACGTTTGACAGCTGAGACGCGTTTGGCCGCCTTGCGTTGGGTCGGTCGAGAGGAGTCACCGATATCCCGTGCAGTCGCCGCGGTTGTGGGAAGGGCATCGTCATCCAAACTGGCGTCCAAAGCCAGTTCTTCTGGTGTCAGCCCGGCTAATCCCTTGGCTGGCTTGCGTTTGAGAGTCTTAGAAACCCTAGTGGTTGCTGCCAGGTGGTGATCGTCCAAAAGGGGAGAAATTCCTAGGTCATCAGCAGCAATTGGGGCTAGACTGCCATTCGCAGGGTTGGCAGACGGAAGTACTTCTGGAATGTTATCGGCGGGGTCTTTGGGTGTTGGCGGAGGCGATATCAAGTCGTCATCCAGAAAGTTACGGTAGTGTTGGGTGAGGACATTTGATGCAGTTTGACCTCGACTCGGTTCGGGCGATTGTGGTCCTGGATCTAGGCAAAGCAAGAGAAGTTCCATGATGCGTCAGTGATAACCAGTTCGGTTAGGGGCCAACGACACATTAGCACACTCACCAGCAGCTTCCACAATCGGGTGGTGAGGGCGTGATACCACAGAATGGTCATGCCCATCTGTGGTATCGCTATTGGTATTGTCATCGCCACGTTCACCTTCTCTGCCGTCATCATCGGAGGATGGTGGTCCAACCCCGCTGTCCAGAATTCCAAATGGGGTGATGTTGCCTTTGTCACGAAATAAGGCATCCATATCAGAGTATAAAGGACACATAGACTCCAATAAGTCGTCCATGGTCTTGATCCCATCGGCGACGTTCTTGGCGGAGAGTCCGCTTCCGGTCTTCAAACTGAAAGCTTTGGCAGAGGCATACTTTGATTTGTATTGTTTGAGTCGCTGATATAAGATTCGCCCATTTAACCGCATTGTGGTAGTATCATGACGTATGTTGTAGTTGTTGTTAAGCTTGATTGCAAGGGGATTAAGCAGGGATCGAGGGTTCATAGGCTGGCCCGATACTCGTGTCTGGCTGCCACCGCCAAAAAGTGAATTACGAATGTTAGGTTTGGACAGGTAAGAAATTATAGTTTGATAGTCGACAAGATCCAGAGTCGGACTATCACGGGTGGCTTTCGCAGTTGTGGCTATCGAAGCAGATCGTGCACGCTGAGCTTCCAGGCGTGATTGCCTCACTGCCGCTGCGGTTGGTCTTGAACCAACGGGCAAGCCTGAAGCTTTGAGGTCCTCATCAATCTGAGCTCTCGTTCGACGAGCCCTACGGGGAACCTGTAAACATGTACAAAAAGTCAGTTGGGCGATACAACCATAGATAAGCAGCACATCACACACCTTGCCGGTTTGTTGAGATTGAACCTTGCCACTTGGTTGGGTTGGAGGCGCCATTACCAAAGAACCGCTGAGATGGAGTATATGAATGATTATAAGCAGAAACAAGAAATGACGAAATCAAAAGACAGGATATTGAGAGTTTAAGATCAAAGATAAAAGATAAAATGGAACAAAAGATGGGCTTTAGGATCGCTTTTTCTGAGGAATAAGTATGCCAAATCTGACTCACTGCTTCAACGTGTGTTCGTGACAGACGTGACCTGTCTGTGCGGATATGATATCCCCTGTTTCCATGCGCGTTCTTGATATGATCAGGTAAATTTCAGCGTTTGATCAAGCTGAAAGGGGCTGAAACCATGGCCTTGAAGCGAGACTTCGAAGCTGATGTCGTGAAGCATTTTTGTGATTCCAGGGCTGACGTGTGAGGGGTGAGGTGATAGCAAGGCCACAAGCGAGCAGGGATGATCCCGATGAAGACCGGATGGCCCGGGGGCCAAACCACCACGTTTGGACCGTTTACCAAATTTCTGGCTCCAAAAGCTTGTTAATGAAAGAGATCAAGAAAAAAAACGATTTTTTTTTTGATCATATCTGGTATAACCAGGTACATTTGAAGAAAAAAGAAAGGATGGGAGCAAATTTGTTTTGATGAATCTTCCATGGCATTTTTTTTTGTTTTAGGGACAAGTTGTAAAAATTTTATGACAAACTAAGTGACCGCAAAACAGTGATCCACCTCTTAAGGTGGATCACTGTCTTATAAATAAAGTTAAATTTTAAGGTACCCGGACGGATCATAAAATTTAAAAAAAGGTCGTAAAACGTCTACTTGAACCGCCCTAATACTTGCAACCGTCATCCCAGCAAGAACGTCCAATCCAGACATTTACTTATGTGGAACGTTGTCCAATGTCACCACATCTCATCAAAAACAGTTATACATAATACCTGTATGGTCCACCATGATTGGGTGCTCGGTGAGCAAGAAGCAACACTGATACTTTCTTCAATCAGCGTAGTCAGGTGGAATCACACTGAGTAATCCCCCAAAAAATCAAGTCGACATCAATCTCATTATTGTTCAATCACTTTAACCATGATGACTGATAATCGCTGGAAATTTTAATGAAAGTATTGTAGAACAGTGAACCAACTGATGGATCAAGACAGTTTGATTGAAGTTGAGGTTAATCAAACAAAATGGATAGTTTCGGAACAGACTCTCTTAACGTTCAACTTGTTCACAATCCCACTTGATTTCAAAACCATCTTCAAAGGTAAAAGACAAGTCTCATGACCGCTTAACTGTAAGGGTATGCCCTTACAGGATACATGTGTACAGAGGTGTATGGGTTTAGATAGTAGTGTAGTCATCTTATTCGCCCTGACTCCAGAGAGGCTCTTCTCCTTAGGAGACTCTCCTACTCGGAGTCAGGTAAGATATCATTCTAGTTCTCTTGTTGTTTCTCTCTTATGTGTGTGTTATGGTGTGGATGCTGATGTTGAGGAGACTCTCCTACTCGGAGTCAGTTTGGAATTTATATAGAGAAGTTTTATAGGTGACTCCTCGCTGTCAAGCTGTCCCTACGAACCCAGTGAAGGTTCACTCTCTTGAACCTTACACTTTTTTCACCTATAACTTTTTTTTAATTTAATCATCAAACCTTATTAATCTCTGAATTCCTGCTGCACTACCACTCCGACTGAGTCTTAGTATTTCTGCTGTTATATCGCCTGTTTCTGTCCCACGAGCTGCCTGTTCTTCTGTTTCGGATGTCCGATCGACGAAATCTGCCTTCAAACTATACTGATAATCCCGACGCACTGCTTCGTCGATCACGAGCTGTTCAGAATCTTATATCGCCGCTTTCTAGTCCACCACCACCGACTCCGCCTTGCTATAATTGGCGACCGGAAGTCCCGGAAACTCCTGCTTCAGAATACCGAGAGCTGTCAGCAACTCAACCACTCGAACATAAACAACCAAAAAGCGAACAATCCAAACCTGTCATCTTTGGGAGCCATTCACCGACTCCCCACGGCGAACTGTCCACTTCGAGCGATAAAGAAATTGTTCAATTTTTCTTTAAACGGTTGCTAGAAGAGCAAGCGACACCTCGTAAGATACGTGGAGAACAAGCCACGCCGAGACCGCCGGGAGCTTTCGTTTTCACACCACAGGCACCGGCAAGTCGTTTTATGGCAGAAACTTCAACCTCTGGCGGTAAAGGCAAGATGGCGATGTCGAACATCCCGGAAGAAGATCAAATCGAATTCCTAGCCAGGCAACTGAAAGAAGTCCGAGATCAGAACGAGATCTTGGAGCGGCGTTGTGTTCGAATAGACGCGTTAGAATCATTAGTCCATGAGCTAGCTCAAGAACGACGAGAAGTACAACCGACAGTTGCGGATCATAGCTTGCAATCCTCGCGCTCCAACAACCCGTTTGCCCAGTACATGGACAACGGACCGGTCTCGCCTTCACCTGTTGTCGCTCAAAACATCGAGTCGACATCAGCCAGCCCTCCGGTGATTAACTTTTCATCGCGTCCTCGCCCGAAAGTGACTTACACGCCTCCAGCTTACAACTCGGAGTCTGGCCAGACCCTTGCAATGCCACCGAACGAGATGCCATGGACTTACCCATGGGCGCAGTCGACACCGGCGGTTCGCTGGGTTCCTCCCAAAACGGCTCCAGTGACGCTGCCTATGTTGTCACCGCGCTCCCCAGGACTACCGGCCCCTCTTTCTGCACTGATTGTGACAACTCAAGAACAACCAATCGACAATTCGGATAGCCACAGTGACGACTCGAGTACAACGATTACAGCAAGCAAAATTTGTCTAGCAGAGGTACCTAAGTACAAAGGACCGTACGGGAAGCCAACGGAACTCTTTCACTGGCAATGGCTTACAGAGCAGTACTTTAATGTGAAAGACTTACACAATGACAAGGAGCGCTTAAAGCTCTTAGGTTCCTTATTGATCAATCAACAAGCTTCAGCCTGGTACCAATCATCTAAATCAGAACTAGAGGGTAAATCTTGGTCAGAAGTGATGGATCTTATAGTGTTAGGTACCTTGCCAGAGGACTGGGTGGCAGATGTAGAACAACAGCTACGAAAACTACAGATCAAACCTGCCGAATCCTTTGATGCCTTCATCGAAAGAGCACAAGCGCTTCATCGAACCATCTCCCGTTTCTCTCGGATCACTCAAAAGGAATTGGCTCAGTACATCTGCTGGGGGTTACCGACCATCTTCGATAGTACCGTTCGCAAAGACCGAATACTCATGGGAGACAAATTCAACATGATCACCTTTATTTCACAAGCAAAGGCGATTTGGCGAGTATTGACAGATGGTGGACAAATCAGAGAGACACGAAACCGTAGTGTAAATCCGAACCCATTTCTCAACCATCAACCTAGTGGAACTACGCCGCCTACAGTTGGTAACGGATTTCAACAATCAACTAGAACTCCAGAAGAACAGGCTGAAAGCGCATGGAGGTATAAGCAATGGATGAAACACCTAGGATTGTGTATGAGTTGTAAAAAGAAATGTAATAACCCATCTTGTACTGAAACCTCGAGCGCTTTCATCAGTGTGCCTCCACCCGATCAGTTCAACGCAGGACCACGACCTCCTCGTAACGAAATCCGACAACCACCTGGAGCGGCACCACAAAGACCAGCGGGGCGTCCAGTTTCCAACAACACACCACCGACTCGTCTCGCGGCGGTTGCTGAATTACCGGATTTGTCCACAGCAGAACTGGAACGTTACGCGGAGGCGGACAGAGTGTTAGTAGCCTGCATGGAGTAAGACAAAGGAGACAGGTGTGTGTCTTCAGGTGATAGAGAACCGTCCATCATCGTTGACCTTGTATGTAATGGAATCCCTGTTCGTGCTCTATTTGACTCAGCCTGCGAGACCAACTTAATGGACGAGCGACTACTCAAGAAGGTTCGCGTACCAAGGCGACCACTGGTGAAACCCATAACTGTGGGTTTAGCACTTGAGTCTGAGGGTCAAGTAAAGCAACTTACCCATTTTGCTTTTGCTAACGTGGATTCGAAGGAGCCATCTATTCGATTTGGGGCAACGTTCTTCAAGCTGGCGAAGCTTAACGGTGGTTATGATCTTATTTGTGGTACCCCATTCTTGAAACTACATAAAATTGATATATCCATTCATCGACGTTGTATAACTCATAGCAAAACTGGGAAGGTTATTTATGATAAGGATGAAAGAAAAATGAAAGAAAGTAATGAATTGAAAGAAAAAAGATTGAATGACTGTCCAAAGAAAGAGATGTTAGCGTGTGTGGTGGAGAATGTGAGAAAGATTGAGAGTGCAAGAAAGTTGGCTGAGAAGGAGGAGTTGATGTTTGAAGAATTTAAGGATTTATTCCCTGCTGAATTTCCCGCAGTCGCGGAAGGGGAGGATGATTTTTTGGACGTATCCGTAGGTCATCTAGTCAATACGGGTCTCCGTCTCTCATCATTCCCAAGAAGGATCCTACGGCGGACCCACGTTGGGTGTGTGATTACCGGGAACTTAATAAAGTAACTGTTAAAGACAGATCACCCTTGCCAAATCCTGACGAAGCAGTACGACTGGTAGCCACCGGAAAGGTGTTTTCGGTGGTTGACCAAATCAACAGTTTTTTTCAAACTTGTATGCGGAAAGAGGATATACCTCTGACGGCAGTAAAAACTCCATGGGGGATGTTTGAGTGGGTAGTCATGCCAATGGGATTGTGCAATGGTCCGGCAACACATCAAGCGCGGTGTGAAGAGGCTCTGGGTGATTTAATTGGCAAAATTTGTGTGGTATACATCGATGACATTGTCATTTTCTCTGACTCCATAGAGGAACACAAGTTACATCTGAGAGAAGTTCTGACCCAACTAAAACAAGCTAATCTTTACTGCTCATCAAAAAAGAGTAAACTATTTCGACGTAAAATTTCATTTTTAGGACACGAAATTAGCGAAGATGGTATTAGGGCGGATACAAAGCAGGTGGACAAAGTCACTTCCTGGAGGGCGCCTAAATCAGCAAAAGGACTCAATTCCTTCCTAGGCACTGTACAATGGCTGAAAAAATTTGTGGACGGGCTAGGTCAATATGTAGCCACACTCGCACCATTGACAAGCTCAAGGAAGAAACCTTCAGACTTTCGTTGGGGATCAGCAGAGGACACGGCATTTGAAAACATCAAGCGGTTAATTACAACCTTACCAGTTTTGAAAAAGATAGATTATGATTCAGATGATGCTATGTGGCTCTTTTCCGATGCAAGTGGTCATGGGTTAGGCGCTGCGTTATTTCAAGGAAAAGAGTGGGAAACCTCTCTCCCTATCGCGTACAAGAGCCGAACAATGACACCGGCAGAGCGTAACTACCCTGTACACGAACAGGAACTTTTGGCTGTAATAAATGCATTACAGAAATGGAAACTCTTGTTATTAGGAATGAAAATTAATGTCATGTCCGACCATCATAGCTTAGTGCATTTATTGAAGCAAAGGAACCTGAGCCGGAGACCCTTGCTGATTTCGATCTGGACTTTAAGTATTTGAAAGGGGAGCATAATTCAGTGGCGGATGCTTTATCAAGAAAAGAAGAAATAGCTGTAGTGGAGATAAAGGCTAAGATGGATGAGGAGGTTCGAAAAACTATCATACAAGGCTACAAATCCGATCCGTTCTGCATCAAGCTAGCAAACACCTTACCACTCCGCGAGGACAGTTTGAAGATTGACGAACTCATGTATCTTGACGGGCGACTGGTTATCCCTGATGTCAAATGGTTAAGACAGGATATTGTCACACGAGCCCATCAAGCGTTAGGACATCTAGGTGTAGTCAAAACTGTGGAACAACTACATAAGGAGTTCTTTTGGTTAGGCATGGGTAAAGACGTCAATACAATTGTATCCAGCTGTGACAGTTGTCAAAGAAATAAAGCGCGTACCTCACTGATATCGGGTCGACTTCAAGCAACAGAAGTTCCTTGCAAAACGTTAGAAGACATCAGTTTAGATTTTGTTGGTCCGTTCCCTAAAGTCAACGGATATGACATGGTATTATCATGTACATGTCGGTTATCGGGATTTGTCAGACTCATACCGGTGTCTCAGAAGGACTCTGCTGAGAAGACCGCCCATCGAATGTTTGTATCTTGGCTCTCGATATTTGGGGCCCCTTCGTCAATGATAGGCGACCGCGACAAGATCTGGGTTTCACGGTTCTGGCAGCATCTAAATCAACGGCTCAATATCAAGGTCAAGCTGTCTACCTCTTACCACCCACAAACGGATGGCAGGAGCGAAAGGTCAAATAAAACGCTAGGTCAGATCTTACGACACTTGACGGCCACTAGACACAGCAAATGGTTAGAATCGTTACCTGCGGTTGAGTTTGCAATCAACTCTGCTATCAATTCGGCAACTGGAACAAGTCCTTTTGAGTTCGTTTTTGGACGTCAGCCTCGCCTCTTTCCGACTAACCTAGAATCACAAATTAAGGAAAGCGACGCACATAGATGGGTTGAGAAGCGACGTGCTGATTGGGCTAATTGGAGAGATAAATTGTGGGCAAGTCGAGTTGATCAGGCCTTGCAATACAATAAGAGGAGGAAGCACGGTGACAAGTTAGAAGAAGGGGACTTAGTGTTAGTTGATAGCCAAGATCGTCAGCGGGTGGTTGGGGGACGTGGTCGTATGGTAGCAAAGTTGAGAGCTCGGTTTGATGGGCCGTATAGAATCAAATCAGTTCTGAACGATGGTCGAAATTACGAGCTTGAACTGCCTAAGGACGACAAGACCCACCCCGTTTTCCACATTTCGAAACTCAAGCAGTATAAGCTGGAAGAAGAAGTAAAGGAGCCTAGTACAGGACTAGCGTCCAAAAGTAAGTCTCCCTCCTAGTATGCACCGCCACTACCCTCTACACCGTTTTTGTCAAGCAACTCCACGGCCACTTTGTGAGCACATCCTTGGGTTGTTTCTTTTCAATCAGATAGCGGAACGAGGGGGAAGTTGCGGCATCGACAACGATCACGATTTTTTTATCTTCGGTGGTTTGGTTATGTTTTTCTTTTTGTTCTTTTCTTTTTTCTCTCTTGTCTTTCAGGACTGTTTCTATTTGTGTTCTCTCTCTTTTTTTTCTTTTCTGGGGCGAGTCATGCCATTTTTTTTCTTTTTTTTTGGGGATTCATAACTATCATGATAATCAAGACACGACAAATTCAAAGGGTCAACGCAATGGTGGAATTTTTTTTTTTCTCTTTAGTATTATTTCTTTTTACTCTTACGAAGTTTTCTTTTCTTTTTTCATGAGAACAATTTTTTTAGAGGGGGAGGGTGTAAGGGTATGCCCTTACAGGATACATGTGTACAGAGGTGTATGGGTTTAGATAGTAGTGTAGTCATCTTATTCGCCCTGACTCCAGAGAGGCTCTTCTCCTTAGGAGACTCTCCTACTCGGAGTCAGGTAAGATATCATTCTAGTTCTCTTGTTGTTTCTCTCTTATGTGTGTGTTATGGTGTGGATGCTGATGTTGAGGAGACTCTCCTACTCGGAGTCAGTTTGGAATTTATATAGAGAAGTTTTATAGGTGACTCCTCGCTGTCAAGCTGTCCCTACGAACCCAGTGAAGGTTCACTCTCTTGAACCTTACATTAACCTGATAATCCTCAGCAAAAGGAAATCCTTGTACACAAAGACTTTGAGTGACTTATACGCAAGCTTTGTGATGTTTTTATTTGGTATTGACAAAACTTGATGTCTTTGAAGCTTAATAAATTTTGTATTCAAAGGTTTTGAATAATGATTGTACATCTGAATGATTACCACTTTCGAACCAAGTTAAATCCAAAAGTAATACAAAATAAATTCGAAGTAGGCCTAATCAAAGAATCCCCTGATAAACCACCATATCTCATTTACCAAAATTACAGAAACATGTAACTTGAACCTTCTACCGACATTTTAAAAAGGTCTTCCCAATCTACTTTAACAAATCCCACTGAGATGATGAAGTCAAAAATTGTTCCAACTGAAAGGAATGGTTTCAAAACCAGAATTGATTGTTGATGGAATGGTATACAAAGATTAATCAGTTGGTTGCATCGCATAACAACTGAATTTATTGAATTCGCTCGGTCTTGTTTGTGTAATAAATTTTTCAGGTAATTTTGCTAAAATTGAAAATCAAAAGCTCATTCCTATCAGTTTGATTCTACACTTTATCAAAAATTTGCATTTCTTAATCACTAACCTATTGAAGTTACATCGATGGCACTTAAACCAAACTAAATCAAATGTGCAATACATAAATGTAGAATTGCAAAACGAGTGATGACAGTGACGACTAAAATCAGGGTCTTTAAATGATATTAGAAACGTTTTTAAGTCAGTTCGTTTTGTTTTTGTTAGATTTGATTGGATTCTAAACAGTTTCCTTCTCTTAGGATGATGAAGGATAAAACCTTGAGTCGTGGTTGGATCGTTGTGTGTTTCTTTTGCTTATTGTTGGAGTGTGCTCTTCAAATTTGTCGTTTTGTTCAATTTATTCGGACCTGCAAAAAAAGGGATCCTGAAGAATTCTGGTTGGAAGTGGTGTTAGATGAGGCTGGATTTCAAGATATGGGATTGGTGTTGGTGTGTTGAGGTTGCTGATAAGATGACATTGACGGTGTGGGGTACTTACGGTGGCCCACAAGCGCCAACTGCTCCATAACGACAAAAACAGAAAAAGCACACTTTGAGCCCCGCCCAACACCCCTCCCAGCTCATTGGGACTGCTTCTGCCCGGTTCAGACCACCACGTCAAACCGGTCACCTCCTCAGCATTTGTGTGATAACCTGTTATGGCGCAAGTGGCAGCTCGTGCCCTTCAAACTGGACACCATTTGTGAATTTGGAGATCGTGCTCATCATCATTACTTTTAGCTCAACTCTACACACGTCGTCGCGTCCATTATTGAAAATTTTGCACCATTCTACAAGCTCTGTCGCGCCTATCATCATCAACTTCTACTCAAGAGCTAACTGTACAAAACTCGTCACGCCTATCATCAATTTTTGTCTCTCAATTTTACAATAATCATCGCACTCATTGTCGATTTAACACATGTTCCCCCTCTAACAGGATTGAATTGTCAAACCGATTGCTGATGCCGCCCAGACAGCTTATAACAGAAGACTTCCGGCCACTGATTGCCGACCTAGTTGACGAGGGCCTCACCAATGCTGAAATACAAGCTGAACTATCTACTCATCACAATCTTCAATGCTCACTCAGGAGCCTCACTCGTGCACAAACGGACTGGGGCTTACAAAAACTTCCAGACGAACACACCTATGAGCTTGTCAATGATCTAATCAGCTCATACCACGGTCAAGGTATGCGGGCCAAACATCTCCTCAATATCATCAAAGAGTGTCACGGCTTCACCCTTTCACCACGTACCCTCGCACGACGCTGTCAAGTCCTCGGCCTGCACCAAAAGCACGACGACATAGATCTTGGAAAAGTTACTATGGAAGAAGTAGCTGAGTTTATTCGACAAACCAAGCGCAACCCGGATGGTAAATTAGCTGGATATCGTCGTGTACATCACATCCTCAGGAACCAGCACGATGTATTTGTCCACAGGTCAGTACAGAGTTAACTAAATGCATGCACTCCTTTGAATTTAATGATCCCATGTTTTGCGTTTGTGTAGACACATTGTTGAAACGATGGTCAAACAAATGGATGGTGATGGTGTTGCAAATCGCTTACGTGACTCTATCAATCGCCGAACCTTTTATGTACCAGGACCAAATTACGTGTGGTCCGCCGATGGTCACGATAAGCTCAAGAAATTTGGCATCACAATGTATGGATTCATCGACGCCTGGTCTCGACGTGTACTGGGTATCTTTGTTCATATCACCAATAACAATCCAGCTCACATTGGCTTTTATTTTCTCGAGACTGTCAAGAAAATTGGTGGTATACCTCAACGTACCGTGACTGACCATGGAACGGAAACAATCAACTTGGCCGCACATCAAATCGAGTTATCTGCATTGTTTGCAAATATCACCAATGAGGAAGCTGCTCTTCGACATCAATTCACTGACTCGACTCTCAACCAGAAGATTGAATGTTTGTGGTCGCAGCTCATGCGTCAGCACAACACAGCTTTGATTGAAATGATATTTACCTCCATGGAGAACGGTGAGTATAACGATGATGACCCACTTGAAAGGCAAGTCCCAATTTTAGAACAGTGAACTCCTTGTTGTACTCACTGATTTTCTCTTCGATGTAGGCTCCTGTTTTTGTATTTGTGGGTACCATTGGTCCAACGATCATTGGATCAATGGATGTATGATTACAACTCATACTCAAAGCGGCTTGATGCTCGAACCCAGCTCCCAACAAGTTGTGCCCCCAACTATTGCTACCTTGCGCCCAACTCCAACAACGGTGTCGAAGGCCTAATTCCAGCGCCTTTGGAAGATGTTGAAGAACTTCAAGCTCAACACTATCCGAACGCTGAAGAGCTTATGGTCACTTCTCCTCTATGGCTCCGCGAAATCTGCGCATTAGCCCAAGAAGAACTTCAGATTGACGCAGATAACATAGATATGGAAAATATATGGATTGTTTTTCACAAAATACTCTCTTTCCTTAGATCTTACGATCTATTCCTTCTCGGAATGCCCGAGGGAGCTCCGCGTGCGGCCACTAATCATGAGAAAGCTGTCGAAACTGTGGCAAATCGGTTTGGACTTTTGCCGCGCAACCATTGAAGGTCGCATAAGGAGGTTTGTCATAGTTCCGATTTGCAAAAAACAAATGTTTCAACCCATGTTTTGTATTTAGCATTTTTTGACAGGGAGCTCTCAAAATCAAAGCGTACAACATGTGTAGTTTGTGATACACTGGTCATGACTCATCCCCTCACAAAGTATAAAGACATTGTATGTTGTGATTGTCAGACGCCAAACAATCTTGTCATAGACTACATAACGCCAGCTGCCTCATCTGTGACCTACCTCAAATATGTTGCTTTGACTAGCCTCAAGGTAAACTTTCTAGTCATAATTAACCGGTGAAATAATAGCAGCCTGATAAGTGAGCAACATTGACCACGTGAGTCAATTGTTGGACTTTGAAAGCAGATGAGTGATGAGTCACAGCCATGCTTACCTGTATTGTGAGCTCTTCGGTGTCAGCATCCCAGTTTTGAATGTATCCTGAGATGAAAGTATTAACTCTCCGCTCATTAAAATCATCCACATTCAACATAGCGAGGCCTGGTTCACCTCGATAATAGATTAAGCTATCAATATGTTTGTTTAACTGGATGTGACAATACAAGCACATATCACATTTGTTAGTTCAGAAACAATCAAAGAGTCATAAGGCGGCTCAACTGATTGGAACCATGAATTGTGTTCAACCATCAACACGACAACTTCGGGCCCAAAGTCTAATGCAACCTCAACTTCTGCATAGATGGGCTTGCCATGAGCTGACAAGCTAACTGAGTCGACTAGGTGCGGAATGAATTGACCGTAGGACACAGGGCTCGGCCCTAAGCAAGTCATGCCATTAATTGAGCTAACTTCTAATATCATCTTCCTGATGCCAGCATCATGTGAGAGACGTCCGTGTGCGTGGTACAGGTGATTTGGTTGTACCGCTGGGCCACTTTCTGTTCTATATATCAAAACCACTGGCATCACATGTGGTGTGTTTGAATCTACTCCACTCAACATGCAGTGAGCTTGGAAGGGAGTAGTCCCGGCAGGAAGCACCTGTTGGAGTTCCCATTGCACCTCTGCAGCAGGCATCTGGAGAGAAAACCAATATTAGGCAGTGAAGATGATTAGAAAGGCTGTATGAAGTTGCTTACCTCACGTCCTACGACAAAGACCCCGGTGGCTGTAGGAGGATTTTCAAGCATTTGAGGCAGAAATTGATTTAATATGTGAAAGTTTAATGTTATGAAGGCACAAAAACGTTTATCTGACGGTTTGGAAACCAAAGATAGAACCATTGACAACCATGAGCTTTATAAGATAACTTGATGAACACTCCTCAAACGAAGGGTTTGATTCTTTGAACCAGACCCTCAAATGCCTTATTAATAACATCCGAATTGCACAGGTTGCAGGGTCAACAATGATGATGAGGATGCATCTGCTTGTACCCTGTCCCGCAAGGTTTCAAGCAAGTTCTGTCCCATCTGTCATATGTCCTGGAAATATATTATGAATTATCCAATTCGAAGTCAGACAGATGTTGTACTGGGCAAAATTGGAGACTATTTTGTCCTTTAGCTTATATTGTAAGTGGTTGGTTTTCCTTGATTGACACCACCAGTGATTGACACGCACGGGGTGATTGAAAGACACAAGACAATTGGTTTATGGTTGTGGCCCACTGCCTGTTAACAAACAGGCATTGATTGAAAGGAAGGAATGCAATTGGTTTATTGCTATAGCACACTGCTTTACAACAAACATCAATTGGAGTTAATTGAATGGAATACAATTGGTTTATTCTTATGGCGCACTGCCTGTGAACAAACGGCAATTGGTTTATTACTGTAGCACACTGCTTTACAGCAAACATCAATTGGAGATTGAATGGAATGCAATTGGTTTATTCTTATGGCACACTGCCTGTGAACAAACGGCAATTGATTTTGCAGTAAAAATTATTAGTATGAAGATCAAATGATATGAAAGAGATGGTGGATGGGAAACTTGCCTGTGCCTGTCTTTGCCACTATGGTATTTATAGTGGCAATGACAGGCACAGTGCTTGCTTATCAGTATCTTTACTTATCATTAAATTATAAAAGTAGGATGTAATCAAAAGAAAGCGTCACTTCTGATCAAAAGACAGTGATTCTTTTGATCAAAAGCACAGATTAAATGCAAATTGTAAATCATTAAAAACATTACTCTTCATTCCAATGATTTACAGATTTGAGAAATGTAAAGCATTTCTCAAAGTTTTTGCGCTTCAAACCTTTCAAGTTAATTTAAGTGATTTAACCCATTTTCTATCAACACAATCCCATATTACTCACTTGAAAGGCTTTATGCCCGTGAATGAATGCTATTGGCCTGAACCCTATTGCTTTTGTAGATCTTCGCAGTGTATCTTCATTTGTGCGAGGTCTGTATAAAGCGTCACATCTAAGTAAAACTTCAAGCTTATCGTAAAATTCGACAGAAACTTCATGTCGAATTGTATGATAATATTTTAATTTCCAAGATGAGTATAAATGTTGGCTACAAGTAATCAACATCATAATCCAATGAGAAGATGAATATTAAGACTCTCAAAAAGAATCACTCATTAGATGCGATGAGAGAAGTATTCGATTTATTCATGTTGGCTCACTGCCTTCGAACAAAAAGAATACCTCAAAAGATGCGATGAGAAATAGAGAATATTCAATTTATTCATGTTGGCTCACTGCCTTCAAACAAAAAGAATCACTCATTAGATGCGATGAGAGAAGTATTCAATTTATTCATGTTGGCTCACTGCCTTCGAACAAAAAGAATACCTCAAAAGATGCAATGAGAAATAGAGAATATTCAATTTATTCATGTTGGCTCACTGCCTTCAAACAAAAAGAATCACTCATTAGATGCGATGAGAGATAGAAAGTATTCAATTTATTCATGTTGGCTCACTGCCTTCGAACAAAAAGAATACCTCAAAAGATGCGATGAGAAATAGAGAATATTCAATTTATTCATGTTGGCTCACTGCCTTCAAACAAAAAGAATCGCTCATTAGATGCGATGAGAGATAGAAAGTATTCAATTTATTCATGTTGGCTCACTGCCTTCAAACAAAAGGAATGACACCACAAGTGGGGACGATTGAAAGGGACAACTTCTTCAGAACAGTATTTATATACCAAAAATTGAATCAGCCCAGGCTCAAAGAGCCTGGAGCGATCAGAAGTATGATGCTATTACTTTTGACTGAAAGACAGCGAAAGCAAGGTCTGCATTTTAGATTCAGGGTATCACATTTGCTTTTAGTTAAGACCTTTCCGGCACGCGATTGCAAGCACAAGCTTTAGATAGCTAAAGGGCTTTTCTATCATTCAAATTAATGCAAATCAGCCCCAGAATGACTCGCCAAAAGGAAATTCAGAAACCATAACGCAAAACGTACCTTGCATTCGCTTTTGATCCCAGTGATCAAAGCATGTGCATCCATCGCATTTGGACATGCAATGGATGGTGAGAAAGAGGTCGTTAAAAACTCCACAAACTCGTGACCAAGGTGAGATTGAATCAAGTCAAGCTTCTGAAGATCAATGTACAGTATGATTCGGCATCGCTCCAATCCATCAATCCCTAATATGGAAAACAAGTAGTTGTTATTATTAATCAAAATGAGAAAAGGAAATAACAAGTAGTTGAAAAGTCCTCATGGCTTTTCTCAAAGCGTTCAATAAAAGGTAAAGTCAAAGTAAAATAGACAAAGCTTTACAATACGCCCTATTTGAACTAATCAAATCAGACTTTATGAAGCACTGCAATCACGCGTTGTCTTGTAGCAAACATATTTGTAACCAGATGAGATAATACTGGGCGGAATGCTTTGCACTTTGACAGACAAACAATTGAACAAGCAAACTTGCCAAGAAAAGTCGCATTGAGGGGCATCTGATTACGAAGACAATGGCTATGAGAGATCCCGAGCAGTGGTTGCAAATACGCTGTTTGAAATGCCTGAATCAAACTTCTGTTTACAGATTCAACTTGTTTCTCACCGCCTTATCCAAAACAAACACCTATCTCACAGTCAATTTACCATGCTCACAACTTTTGTGAGCTGAGTAGTTCAGCTCACTCTTTGGTCCTTTCAATGTCAGTCGGCCTAGGTTGTGTGGTGGTTCAGATTGATTGATCAGTGCGAGTCATGAATGGACTTTGATTGGCAGCAATACATGTTCAAGTGACATAAGATGTTCCCAATCTCGTCAAAACAGGCTCTGATCACTAGGAAGAAACACAGAAGAAAAACTATATACAACTATGAACATAATATGTACAATTACATGGGTGCACTTCAAAAACAAGAGTATCTTGTCAAAAGAAGGTGCTGACTGGCGGAGGGGCTACAGGAGGAGCCGGTTGTGTCAAACTGGCCAAGAAAGTTGCGTGCAACACACAAACCGGACCGCGGGGAAAAACGGCCTACGGTACGGCGCGGTACGGTCTAGACACCGTAGACTGCGGTCCGGCCCGCTACGGTCAAACCGTACCGTAGTCTGGGAATACCCGGATAGTAAGGGGGTGTAGCCGTACCGCTGTATCCGTCTTCTGGAGTTATCACCACCGTAGTTCGGAGTGAAGTACGATCACTACGGTTTCTTCAGCCTCAAGTTCCAGAATCCCGATATGGTAAGATTTCGACGATTTGGTCCTCATTCATCCCAATCAAGATCCTTAACAGCAAGGGATAGATTCAAAAGACAAGCAAGGGATGTTTTAATTTGGGTTCGTTCGTTTCTTTTTTGTCATTTTTCTTTTCTCTTCCCACTTTTCTCCATCGTTTCCCTTCCTTCACAGTTTCTTTTTAACTTTTATCCTTTACCTTCAATAATTCTTCTTTGAGTTTGACGCTGAACCATGTCATCTTTATTATCTGCTCCCAAAACTCAGAGTTCAAATTCCCAAGCCTCCCAATCTCAGTCTTGTTCTCGTCGCTCTAGTCGTGTTAGCCCTCTTCGCCGTGATTCTACTTTTGTCCCAACTTCGGCCGACTCTCGTAGGTCGTTATATGCACCCGATGAAGAAGACAAAAGCGGTGCCGACAAAGACCCAGAGGATGATCCAGAAGAGGATGCAATCATGGACTCTGGAGCTGGAGAACCTCAAACCCCAACACGACCTACTGCTCTTGCCCCTCGACCTAAGAAGCGAACCGCCGAATCCCAAGTCGAACCTCAGCAATCCAAAAAGCCTCGAAAGATTGCTGCCAAAGGCAAAGGCAAAGGTACTCGGTCAACAGTAACTGTAAGTACCTTTGCCTAGATCAATGTTTTATTTCCTGTTAATTTCACATATTCCTCCGTTCTCCGTTCTTTCTCAGGACTTTACTGTCCCTAAAGAGATTGATGTTGATCAAGTAAGCCCCACGGCGCCTCCTGCAAAGGCCTTCCAAGCTCAATCCAAAAGAGTTATGCATCTTTTGTCGTATTACAAACCCATTCCGGTCCAGCTCAAACAAGATGTAAGCTTGTTTCGATACTTATAATTACCTCAGTTTGATTTGAACTGACCAACATTTTTATAACAGCCAATCGGTGTATTACGCGGATACGAGTGCAGGTTTTGTCCTGAGACATGTGCTCAGGGTATTGATGGGAACAGCAACCTATATGGCCATCGAGACGGCGACAAAAATCGGGCTCCATGTCTGGGACGAAGCAAAGCGATGAAGGAGAAAGATCATGGTCTTCCTCCTACATACCAAGAACGAAACAAGACCAGTGCAACCGAATCATCATCGGCTGAATTGATGAAAAGCTTTGTCAACCGACCACCGTTCGATATTGATATCCTCAATGTCTTATTAGTCATCTGGCTATTAAGACATGCCCTCCCATGGGTTCGATTTCAAGACCCGACTCTCAGGGCAGCTTTCCATCTCACCCATCCCAAGGCCGACATCAGGAGCCCAACTTGGGCAGCCTCTACCGCGAAAGAGTTGTATAGCTCTTTATATGAGCAGCTAATCAGCAACATCAAGGTTTGATAGGTTTCATCTTCGATTTCATGACATCATCTGGTATCTAATTGTACCTTTTGTCCCTTCATTTGTTTCGCTGCAGGATAACCAAAGTAAGATATGTCTTGTACATGACGGATGGACAACTAAAGGGAACCGACTTTCTTTCATTGGGGTCACCGCCACTTGGATTGATTCAAACTGGAAGTACCAAACGAGCCATCTCACTTTGAAGTTGGCAACTTGGCACCACTGTGGCGCTCTTCTTGCCAGACCAGTTGGTAAGTTTCTGATTAAACATGGACTTCACAAGAAGGTATGTCTTGTTTGTCACCTTTTTCCATACTTTTGCATTTTCTGAACAATCATAACATCTTTCTCATTAATGCTCTCCTCTAGGTATTGGCACAAACCACGGATTCAGGCTCCAACAACAATACTATGGCCGAAGAACTCGAGAAGATGTTCAAGAACACCGACGATTCCGTTTACTGGGATTCCGCATCGAATCATGTCCGTTGCTACTGTCATAAGCTCGCACTTGTGGTAAAACATGGCCTCAAGACGATGAACATCTCAGTAGGTCATGTGAAGCCCACAACTCGACCAGGAGCAACAATCCCAGTTCCCACTATTGTCCTCAATACTGGTGACGATGACATTGATGTACCCTCATCATCTGATGAGGATGATGCAGGTTTAACACCAACAAATGGCGATCCCGATGGTGAAGATGACGATTCAGCACCACAGGAACCAGTCGACACGACCGAGCTGGTTAAACGGGCTCTACTGAAGGTGATTATCTCATCACACTACTGTCTTAACCTGAACAGTATAAGAAACTAAATTTATCTTCTAATTTCCAGTGCGACAAGGTCGTATCATTGATCTGTTCAAGTTCATCACGTCGACAGTGGTTCAACACACGCGCCAAAGCTCAAGGTCTCAAGAGCATCATTCACGGATGGGGTGTCCGGTGGAATGCCAAGGCCGATAGCCGAAGGCGTGCAGCGGCTGGACATGAGGTTAGTTACACTCTCGACATCTGTCTACTTTTGGAAGTTACTCTTACACTTCTGTTCTTATAGATTATAAACGGGATGCTACACACCGATTCCAAAACCAATTGATTCTTCCGAGGATTGACCATCTCCGAGGAAGAGTGGAATGCAGTGCGTGACGTAAACAATGTCCTTGAGGTGAGTTATTTTGGTCTTTGTCCCAGTGAACCATTTTGATTGACCTTCACTTCAAACAGGTGTTCGAGCGTGCCACGAAACGGATGGAAGGAGACTTTGCATCCGGATGCAAAGTCCTTTCTGAATATCGCAAGGTTCAGAGTGAGTTGCAGGTACTCAAGAAGGACAGCACATACCCCAGCCTCGATGTCATGATCACCGAGATGCTCAAGCACCTCCAACATTACGCCGAGGAGGCTGCCAAAAGCCAGGTTGTCCAGATCGCGACCATTCTCAACCCACGACATTGGTTGAATTATATCAAGAAGTTTTACTCCAACGTTGAAGTTCAAGCGGAAAGCTCGTTGGAGTATATGTTTTCTGCTTACTCTGACAGTATGCCCAAACCTCGAGCTGTTTCAGTGGAAGTTATTTCGAACCCAGCGGATGTTAGTGAAGATGAAGAAGACAACTTGTTTCCAGCTGCACCGGCAAATGAGGCTCCTCTGGACTACCAACTCGAGCTGAAGCGCTATTTGGAGGGTGCCCATCCCATTGGCAAAGGTACCAGTCCTCTTGACTGGTGGGCAGTAAGTACTGCTTTCCCTTTTATTTTTGTCATTTTCTTTACTCTTTACTGATATCAAGGTGAGGTGATCTAGGCAAACGAGAAGAACTTCCCAGTCTTGGCCACCATGGCTCGGGATTACCTGGCCCTCCCTGCCACTTCGTGCGCGGTGGAGCGCATGTTCTCTTCGGCGGCCGACATCGCCATCTCAAGTCGAGGCTCAATGAAGCCTTCAGCTGTCTCACAGGCTGTCGCTTGCCGAGAGTGGTTGAAGAATAAGCAAGTGCCTGCAGGTAAATTTCAAGATGCAGTCACATACCTCTTAGATCATGAGTTGCGCGAGGGAAAGAAGAAGATAAGGAGGTTTGAGTTATACGAGTTATACTATGTTTCTTTCTTTCTTAAACATCCTTCTATTATAATGTCTTTTCTTTCTTTACTATCATTAATATTCTTTCTCTCCATGTTTGGTATAAACTTTTTACTTTGTAACCACAACTATTTTACATGAATTTGTCCTATTTCTACTCCACAATAAAAAAAATTGTTTTTCTCTTTTTTTGACCGTAGCTGCCCGTAGACTACGGCTACTACGGTGGCTACGGCGCGGTCCACTACGGCCCAACCTCACCGTAGTTACGGGTTGGGTCTAATAATAGTATTGACTTCACTACGTCAACGGTGAGGTTTACAGAATAAACCTCACCGTACCGCCGTCGTGACCGTAGTACACTTCGCTACGGGACGGTTTGTGTGTTGTTGCGTGATCAACTAGCCCTGCAGTTAGGCGCTGGCTTGGATTTTGAAGAGACTGTTGCGCATGACACCATACAAGATCTTTTGATGGCTGCGGTATTGGGATAGTCACGAGGGGTGGAAGCTTAAGGAGTTTGCATCCAATCTGACATCTATGTTGGACAATCATCAATGCAATAGCCGAAGGTTGGCCGTTTTGTGGGCCCCATACATGCCTGAATCCATAGCGAATGACTCAGTGTGATAAACTACGACACAATTGAGTTGATAGACGTACGTGGGGTTCATGTCCAAAATTCGGGGGTTGGTGACCACGGAGCCAGAACCACGTAAGCCAGTGACAAACCGATGACCTTCACTATGCTGATATGTCCAATGAATAAATGCATCCATAAGGTAGTCCATTTCAGAAGGCTTTGCGATTTGTGGAAAGCCAAAGAAATCTAAAGAACCGTAGCTTTTCAATGGGAGGTCTAACTTTTCTTCTGCGTGCATAACCTTGGTTGGGCCTTCGACTCCGGTTTCAGTATTGATTCCAGTGTTGTGATTGTGATCTGGGTTGACATTGTTGTCCTCTTCGGGCATTTGTGAGCTGATGATGACATGCTCGACAAGCTGTGAGGAGGAACAAAATAAGTCAGTTTGAAGCAAGTAGGAGGCGTTCATGTTCAGAGAAGAGGTCACTTACACGCAGTTTGCTGAGTACCTGCCAAAAGTCAACATGGTCAGAAAGTCCGGGTATGTTTTGTCCATATACCACAAACTCCCGTAGTAGAATGGCCACTGCAGCATAGAGACGCGATGTGGTGATAGGTGCAACCAGGGGTAAAAGAAAGCGATTTTTGAGCGGGATTTTGCTGATGAGCACAATTGGACCGCTGGGTTGCCAAATATCAATCGACTGGACTGTGTGAGTGCGTCCAGTTTGAGGTGCTCCTGAGTTGTGCCAACGAAAAGCCACAAAGTCTGATTCAACTGTGTTACCGTCCACTTGGAGCAGCCACTGCAGACCAGCTTGCCAAGAAATCCCGCGTTTGCTGTGGAGAAGGTAAGGCTCGCGAGATGCACCAAAGCGTTCGATTCCTTGTTCAACTTTGTCGTCATTGATATGGAGAAGTGGTTGTGTCCAGCGAGCTGAAGAATAAGAGACAAATAAACATCAATAAAAAGCAACAATCATACATAGACAGATCACGTACCGCCGTAACCTAGATGTGTCTTCGTAGCCGCTGAATTAGGTAGGATCTGAGCTTCAGGGGACTCAAGCTCAGCAGCTTTAGTCAAGGCTTGGCTGTGTTCGTATCGAGTGTGATCGTAGATGAGATCAATTGAGCTTTTATTAGTAAACCACCACATCAGGTTTTCAGCTGTGACGGTAGCTTCGGTACTGCCTAAAGAAGTGAATGAAAAACCGGCTGGGTCCAGAGTTGTGAGAATGTTGTTTGGAATAAAGACTCGATGGAAGTGTGACCAAAGGTCTTGACGCAATGTGTTGTAAGCATTAGGATCTAATAAATTGATTGTTCGAGACACAGGAAGGGGTTTTGCTTTTGCCCACTTAGGAGCTTGGTATATTTCAAAACCACATACAAAAGTAATAATAGGGTTTGTTGAATCGAAGGTGGGTGTGTCTGGGTTTGGCCGAGCCCGTTGCCGAGTAGTTGTTGCTACGCCTCCTCGTGGACGCTTTACCTTGCTGGCTGCACCACCTGCAATGGTACGATTGCGGATTTCTTTAGCGAGGGCAAGTGGGTCAAATGGAGGCGAAATTGCCAACGTTGAACTCATGGTAGAGTGAGGGGGTTGAAGAGAATTGTTGTGTGCAGCCACGCTGGCTGCTGCGTGTTTATAAGCTCGCACATCAAAGTTAGAAGCTGGTTGAGTGACATTATTTGTGGGTTGCGGTGCTTGGTAGGCAGAAGTAGAAGTGGTGGTCGCGAGAAGTTGAGGGTGATGTTGGTAATTGAACTGGTTCGTCATTGGAGAGGGGATTTCGGAACTATTAGGAGGGTCAGGAGGTGATGCTGAACCGGGGGCTAGTCGTATCTTGAGGCAGGGGCTGCAGAAGTCACGAAAAGTGGCAGGGCGTTGACGGCATGCAGAGCAAATTGGTGAGTTCATGTTTATGTTGTTGGTGTTCAAGATGGTCTATATAAAAATTGAAAAAAGTATGTAAGTGGAAGAAGAAAAAAAGAGACAGGAGTAACTGGAAGGATGTGGGATGAAGTTTATTCTGTAACTGCGGAACCCGGAGAGATTATAAAGGCCCGTGTTCTTCAGCCATGGCATATTGGACTGATTCAGAGGGACCTTGTTATGGCGCAGTTGGCAGGTCATGGCAAGGCATATAGTTGTTTAGCTCCGCAAAGCTTGCAGGTGGCCTTGTTTAGCAATTAGGAGGACGGTCTGAACCGGGCAGGAGCAGTCCTAATGAGCTGGGCGGGGTGTTTGGCGGGGCTCGAAGTGTAATTTTTTTACTTTTGTCGTTATGGCGCAGTTGGCGCTTGTGGGCCACCGTAGGTACTGGTCTTAGGTGAAACCAAGTGGATGGCTTCAGCAGGCCAAATTCCAATGGCTCTTGTCACGCCCGCGTGTGAAATTTGGTTGGCTTCAGGTCGGGGCCAGCCCGTGGCTCACGTCACGGTGGCGCGAGCCAGGCTCACGTCAGTGATTTTCCCGCAGTGTACACTATGACTGCTTAGTCAGACTTTGCTCATCAGTGTAAATCACTTCAGAAACAATTCTGATCAAGGTTCAACCTGAAGCCTATTTCCTTTTTGATTTCAATGTAGAGATACAAAAGTACGCACATTGCTTTTGCAGCATTCATTCAAAAGAGTGTAATTTTTTTTTGACAAAAAACAACAAAAAAAGACAATTGCTACAAGTGGAAAGAGTGTAAATTTTTTTGAGAAAAAAAAAGAAAAAAGAGAATTGCTTTTGAAGCTTACAAGTCAAAGGAATGTAAATTTTGAAATGAAAACAAATGTTCTTTTCAACCCATTATGGGTGTAAAACCACCCTTCTCGATATGCCTACTTACACGAATTGCAAATTGAGAACCAGTGACCAATTTACTGGCCGTACCAAAAGAGATCCCTTTTCCTACAAGAAATGCTGGAGTAAGGGTCTTGTCTTCATAAAATGAGCTCCAGTGATCTATGCCCAGATATTGGAGCACATTCCTTGTTTCTTCATCATCTGGTGGAACCAGCGCACAACTGAGGTAATCTTCGAATTTACCACAGTACTTGACCTGATACATCCTGTCATCACTCATTGATACACCTGAGCTCTCTACCGAGTTGATCACTTCTGAGGTGGATGCAGTTAGTGTGGATTGGTTGTTGACCAAGGGTTTGATCCCATGGAGGTAAGTCCTGAACATCGGACCTTTTGGTGGAGTGTGGATATCAACTTCCTTCAAACCAGACTTCATCTGGACGATCTAAAAAGCATCCGAGTTTGTAAGTTAGTCAGGTAAACAACGTCCAAGAGTAGAGATCAACCAGCTTACCCACACTTGAGCCCATTCACGAGCTCTTGGTGGAGTTAATCGGAACCAAAAACCTGGCTTGGCTGGATCATAGTACCAAGCATGATCAGGTGAACCACCCTTGCTAGCGGAATATTGTGTAATAAGTAAATTGATGGTTTCAGAAAGAAGGCGTTTTGATTCCAAGTCAGGTGCATTAACGTGTGCATCTCCTACACCTCCGGATTGGTGATTGTTGTCATTTTCTCCAAGGAATTCCAGAATTGAGTTGCCTTGACTAGCTGTTTCAATTTCTTGTTGAACAAACGAACCCGGATTTTCCATCTTTAAGAAGAGGGACGGCCATTGATTGTCGCTCAGAAGACGAGCAGCTTTGAGAAAGTTTTCAAACGCAGTCTCATTATCAATATTGTATTGTTTGATCATTCGACTTTCAGTTCGGTTCATGCCATACCAGGTGAATTGTTGGCTTGGAAACTGCTGTCAATACCGATTCAAGTTGGGAAGCATCTTGTCCCAAATCGGTTCAGATAATTCTTTGAGCTGTTTAGGGGAAATTTTGGCGGAGTCAATCAAGAATGAAAAGCTTTCATTTGCCTCGGTATTTGGCTTGGCTCCTTTTTTCCAAGCTGCGGTTGCCGGTGCTGTTTTCTTCTTGGACTGGCTTGGCGTATTTGGTTTGGGTTTGCGAGTCCAAATCTCGTACGAAGTGAATACGCGCATTTTCGTAGACTTCCTTACAGCACTTGCTTCCAAAGGAGCAGCTGGTAGATCTGATTGGCTTGATGGTATGTAAGGCACACTTTTGTTTTGCTTTTTGTTTCTAGAATCCTGCTCGTCTGATGAAGAAGATTTGGTCGATTTGTCCGATGAAGAAGATTTGGTCGATTCGTCCGATGAAGAAGATTTGGTCGATTTTTCCACTGGCTTGCTTCTTTGAGACGATCTCAAGGTTCGAGCTGGTGCTGGTTTGATTACATTCTTCTTCTTTTTCCCCACTGTTTGAAATTTAAATAGATAATCATTTAGTTTTCTACTTGCTCAAGAGGAGAGGATTTAAGTAAAAAAAGAAGACTCACCAGCCTTGGGTATCTCAGTTTCTTTCACAACATCAGTTTGTTTGGCATGCACCTGATTCTGATGTTGTGTCTTTTCAACTTTGACTTGCTTGTGCTCTGATTCTACTAAGTTCTTCGCTTTTTGTTTTGGTTTTTTGACAATCTTTGCAGCTGGTTCTCGAGATGGAAAGATGACCGATTCAGCCTCTTGAGGCACTTTTCTGTGATCGTTTTGATAGTGATGAATCTTGATGTTGTTGGATTTGTTGGCTTGATAGTTCACACAGGGATCCATTGAGGAATGATAATCGAGATCATCTGGACATAGCCTCTTCAAGGCAAAATCTTGTGCGTATAGGATTGATCGAGTCTCAGGAGAGGGAGAACGATATTGAGTCTCAGGAGAGGGATTACAATTTTCAAACGGATGTCTTGATTTATTGATCGGATTGGACAACCTTGACAATGTATCTTCATTAAGATTCTTTTTGATTTGAGAAGTTACTGAACTGACTTCAGGTTTGATTTCTAGATGAGATTTTGAAGAAGGAATCGGATTGGAATCAGGATTGGGATTGGTCTTTGACTTTTTCTTCTTTTTTGAGTGAGATTTGGAAGAAGGAATCGGATTGGAATTGGGATTGGGATTGGTCTTTTTCTTCTTTTTTGAGTGAGAATTCGAAGAGACTTGAAGAGGATCGGATTCAGGATCGGTCTTTTTCTTCTTTTTTGAGTGAGAATTCGAAGAGACTTGAAGAGGATCGGGATTGTTCTTCGCCTTTTTCTTCTTTTTTGAGTGAGAATTCGAAGAGACTTGAAGAGGATCGGGATTGTTCTTTGCCTTTTTCTTCTTTTTTGAGTGATAATTCGAAGAGACTTGAAGAGGATCAACTGGCAGTTCGTTGTGAGCTTCAGGGACTTTGACATTGTTTCCTTGAGATTGAGCTTAAAGACCAAAAAAAGTAACACATGAAGGTTTGTGAGTTATTCAGTAAAATTTAGATAAACTTGAAGGGAAAGGGGGAATGTACAATGCTTACCTGGATGGCCAATCGCTTTTGGTTCTTGGAACAAGAACGGGTTTGGAAACGTGAACGGTTCCGGAAGAAGTTCACTCGATTCTGCCAAAGAAATTCATGGATCAGTGATAATCCACTATTTTTGAGACCATATGATCTCGACTCACCAGGAGAATACTTTGGGGTTTCAATAAGTGGCTTCTTATCCCGCGGTTCGATGGCCATCTGAAAGGGTGTTGTCTTCGGTTTGGGCTCACTAATTATGATCTCGATGTCTGATGAGTCAGAATCAGCATCGCTAGCAGAGTCTGATTGATCTTCCGATTCAAAGCTGGAGTGAGAGTCGGATTTGGAGTCCGAGTGAGAGGATCGATCAGGTGATATGTAACCCGGGTGGAAGTCAAATCCCGCCTGTTGAGGGGGGATGTTGTAGTCCAAGGGTAATCTCATGAGCTGATCGGTAGTGTTGCTTGGTTCGATAGGTGAGAATTGAGCTGGTGGCAATTGTTTGGTTGGATCCATTGCGATAAGACAAGTGGGTCGATGAAAGTTGAGTGAGAGAAAATGAGAGCGATTGAAGGTTTTTTGAGTGTTGCTGGATGTTATTGAAAGTTATTGAAGGTTATAGGGGGTTTTGATAAAAGGTAAAGAGGATGAAGAGGGTGGATCGAAGGTGGTAAAGAGGGTAAAGACGGTAAAGAGGGTTGCTGGCTGTTGTCGGTCAATCAGGTAGCCGGGTGTTTTTATTTTTATTTTTATTTTTTTTGTTTGAAACTGACGGTTCAGTACCCGAGATTCAATACTCGAGATTGGTTACCCGACAATTGCACCCGGGTGAAGTGACCAGGTGACACTGATCCAACCAGATCAACTTACTCAAACACAACCAGTGCGCTGAGAGTTCCGGAAAAGCCTCAAGTGAGTCATACTGCCATATACTGGCGTATGTTAATGAAAAAAAAAGAATTTTTTTTTTAAAAAATATTTAACATAGGTCTGAAAAACATACGAAAAATATCAAGCTTTAAGGGAATAGCTGTATTGAGTGCTGGCATTATTGCAACTCTCAAACTCCTTTCAAACTGGTCAAATTCTGCTTAGGTTATTACTTTTTTGTAATTTTAGAAAACATAGGTGTAGTTCTATCAGGAAGGTCACAAGCTTGGACAGGTGACCCTATGCCAAATTTTTCCTCCATCCTTTCTTACCTGTCTTGTGATTGGTATTTTGTCTTTAAATTTAATTTGAAGGTGTTGATCAAAGAATGGTGCTCAGGTTTGAAATCAGAAGACCATGTTTGAAATCAAGAATCTGATTAAATCAGATTACACTCACAGGGGCAAACTGGATGCTCACATTGGGCTGAGCATTGAAACTTTTTTGATTTTTTTCAAATGTTTGTTCAATTTTACTTCCAAATTATTTCCCTTTTCTTCCTGTTTTCTTCCTGCTTGTCTCACATGATAAACAGGACTGAGCAGATGAAGTAGGCCTTCCTCAGGCTTCACTCCTTAACAAAGAAGCCTGATTCACTTCATCTCAGCCACCCAGCTGATCCTCAGGAGCATGCCTTGGAGCCTGCTGATCCAGGGTTTTGGACAAGGTGCTGAGATGTCCTGAGTATGCAGTGACTCATGAACTGTTTCTGAGTACTCATCTGAGAGACTGAGCTCAAAGAATGCTCATCCAAAGATGGAAATGAGCATTCTCGAGATACTATGCGGGTAGTTCAGACATAGAGAGTGAGACTGATGAAGAAAGTTTGTAAGGAAACAGTGCTACGTTGAGGTAGTGGAGGAAGAGGAAGGCCTGGAAAGTTAATGGATATATGTAAAGGTAAACAGCCTGGAGGAAATTCTTGCAAACTTCGTGGAAAAGTTCTAGAACAACTTTGTTCCTCACCTTCCCTAAGGCTATATCAACGGACGTTTCTATCTCAGCTGGTGATCCATCCTAACACGCACAAATTCCAACAAAATGCAATGCTGAGCCTTTCGCACTTCAGTAAGTCATACTTAGTGCGAGTGCCGTCTGCTTCGGATCCTCAGACTTGTGCATAAAAGTCTTGAACGATCTGTGTTGACACACATCAAAGCAATCTGGCGCAAGAGGGAGCGCAGCGTACCACACAGCTGAATTGCGCAAGGATTTGCTCGCTCAGAAGTTTTGAGATTCACGATACATCCATCTGACGTCGAGATTCATGGATGATTGATTAAAACATATCAAGTCCCTCGCTCGCGAGCTGGCATGCAACACTGGGATCGTGTATACCCCTCGATCCCGCGTTGCGGACAAGTGGCAAACGTTGGAAGTTCATCGGTTTGCGGATAAATAAGATGATGTCAAAGGTAGAAGCTCATGAACCTAGCGCGTCTTGCAATAAGGGTCGAACTCACCGCGTAGGGTTCTGTCAAAGTGATTGACTGACACGGCCATACCATCAAGGGACCGGTTGTATATATGCATAGCTCGCAGCGTGTTATCTTGAGATCCCGGTAGCGCTCAGCTAGTGTCTATCCATGGTGGAAACAGGTCGAAACAGTATCTCAACGGCCCGAAGAGAGGAAACTCGGTTGGGTCCAGATACGCTCCAGAAACAAGTCTCATGAAGGACTTGTTAGCTCACGTTTTATCCGATCAAGCGCCTTTGAGACACCTCGTCGACCTTCGTGAAGCTTTGGGATTAACTCAAGCCAGTCACCTCGAGCAATTAGTTTGAGGCCGTCTTGACCGGTGATGAAATTTGTTTAGGACTGACTGGGTTCAGGATGACTAGGAGCTCTAGTTCCATTGATTTACGTGTCTCCCTCTGATCTTCTTTGACCCTTCATCCAACTCAGTCGGGTTTGCCCTTCCGTCTTCATTTCCTGCGACATCCAGTTCAAGCTACTCGGCTGAACTTAGACCCAAGCAAGGCTTTATAGTCAGCGTTAGTCTTGCCATAATCACTCCTTCTATATTTCACTCTCCTTACTTCCTTTCCCTCATCAGCACCTTTCGTCATTGTGCAATTCCCTCCCTACCTTTATATATTGTCAATCTTAGTCCAATCTATCAATCTTGACAGGCGTACCTTTTCCCTTTGTTACCCAAGACTCATCGATTTTGGTTCTCAGCGGAAAGCTTTCAAAGTGAGTTCATTTGAACTAGTCCAATCTGTGATCTTGGTACTCCCTATCCACATTGCCGCATCGATAACTAAATACGTCTGCGGTACCAGTTTTACCACCCTCGTCAAACCAAATCTATCGCAGTTTCTGCTCATCGTCATCGATTCGTCATTGTCTCATCACACTCCTTATATTTTTCATTTACTCGAGGATTCCCACGCCAATACGTTCATTTAAATTCATTCCTTTCCTCTGGATCATTATCCGTGCTAATAAATCAAGCGGGATCAAGAAAGGCAACCTCCTTCTTGCTGGCATATTAAAACCCTTACATCTACGTCCTTTGTTTGATTCGGCTTCTTCAGCGGCCTCTGCCTAAAGATTGAAAATATGTTTTCTAGAACTTTTCCAATCGCCATCCTGACCGCTATCTCAATTGTCGTACTTTTTCATCTCAATCGCCCAAACTCTACTCCTCTGGAAACCCTCAAGACCCTGGATCCCCGGGTCTTGATCCGCTCAGGAGCCGACGCCTTACAAGATTGGGGAAGCTGTTTGCCTCAAAACCTGATTTCTACTCTGGGTGGTGCTCATTTACGGTTCCAGAAGCCGCTGCCAGCTCGACCGCCCAAGCCAATCGATGATCAAGACTTTTGCCCTCCCGCCGGTCCTGGACGACGCGCTACTGCCATCCTTATTCCTATTGGACAGGGACTAGAACCTTGGGACGTCGACGACACGCGAAGTCGTACTGTCTTTCTTGGCCCAAAGGATTCCGCAATTCAAACAGATCAAAGTCCATTAGGGTTCTTGCCCTTTATGAGTCAAAGCGAGCAGGAGCGCCGTGATCGCCGTCCAGCAAGATTCAACACCAACATGACCGCCAAAGCACTTTGCCCGGTTTACTACGTTCCTGCCAGCGCTCTCGTCAGTCGGATCCCAGCCGTGCGCAGTCCTCCCGGGAAAAAAACAAGACGATTCACAGAGGACCTCACGGCGCGGCTGCACAAGCTTCGCCAATCTGTACTTGGTAGTGGTGAAGACACCGGTTGCAAATCCGCATCTCAACACTCAAGTCAAGAGGTTGCCCTTTGGCAGCGACGCGGTTATTCCGAATTCATGTTTGGCTTCGCAACCACTCCTCAACGTGCGCTCGAATTCTTGCCCCGATGGAGTGAATGGTTACCTTCTTCTCTGCCAAGCAATGTTCAACTTGAGCGCGCATACCGCTGGCGTCCATCTTCGATTCCACCCCTCCGCCGTTCTACTGCATCTGCGCTTGTTTTAACACCGCCTCTTGCTGAGCTCGATCAGGCCTGGGAGGTTCAAAACGCCGCTCAAGGTGCTGGTATGGACTTGAAGATCAAGGAGCTTGCTGCTGAACGTTACGAGGTCCGCTACATGAACCTCGTACAAGAGATGTGGCGAGAGTCTGTTCAGCGTGAGGCTTTAGGCGCACCGATTACTCAATGGTTCACATTGGCGTAAGTTTTCAACTGGAAGTCATCTTTTCATCACCGCACATCCCACTAACTTCTAGTTTTCCGTTCTCAAGGGATGACGATACATATTTCCTCTCACTTGATTCCGTGGCACGCATGCTTTCCAAATACGACCCGTTCGAAATGCATGTCATTGGAAGTCTCAGCGAGTCAGAGGGGCAACAGAAACACTTCGGAAATATCGCTTTTGGTGGGGCAGGCATTTTTCTCTCCAGAGGCTTAGTGCAACAAATGAACGAGCCTGGCGCGTTCGACAGCTGCATCTCACTGTTTGCTAAGGAATTTGGTGGTAAGTTGTTTTCAATCTTGCTTTTTACTGCCTGGCTTGCGATCTTTTCAAGTCTCCCTCCATTGCCATCATTTCTAATCAACATTACATACACAGGTGATGGAATGATTACAAAATGCGCTGCAATGCTAATGCGACGCGACGTACAACAAGTTGTCAGCCGTGAACCGACCCTACATCAACTAGATATTCAAGATGAAGGACATGGTATCTTCCAGGCCGGATGGCGTTTCACTTCTCTCCATCACTGGCGATCCTGGTTCCAGCTCCAACCTCGTTCACATCCCCATACACTCAAAGACCCATCCCTCCTTGCCAGCTTGCTTGGAAACGCAGCTCGCGCTGTGGCGACTGACAATTGGACACGGCGATACGTTTGGGGAGTCAAACCGCAAGGCAAAGCCGAGACAGACGGAGTTGTGATTTCCCTCGGATACTCGATCACTGTCTCTGGTACTGCCCAAGTCAAGGTATCCGACTTGGACAAGGTCGAGATGACCTTCGCCGGCAACAAGCTTACCTCCGAAACTCGCCCAGCGTTACTGGAAACCAGGCAGCGTCGCACATACTACCTGTACGATCTCAAGACGTCCTCATCCGAACCGGAAAATTTGAACGTCCAGCCAGATGTGGCTATCATGTCGCACATTAACCAGGAAGGAGAAGTCATTGATTTGGTATGGGACGCTCGACCGCGATCAGAAAAGAGCTCTTTCGATGAAGCCTATAGTATCTTCCCGCCTGGAACAAATTGAAAAGAATCCACTTATCAACTCGCTCTTGAGTTGACCTAGCGATCACTTTCACACCCGGTAACGTTTCAAGCGAATCAGACACATGCCTTCGACGTGTACTTCATCTCCTTTACTTTCGCCAACAACCGCCACAGTCGGACATTTCAACATTAAAACAACCATCTTTGATCGAATTCAGTGCATTCTTTTCCCCTTCCTCTCCCTGGACCACCTTTTTAGGATTTGTCTCTTACAAGGCAAACTTTGTTATTAAAATCGCTACATTCTTTAGAATCTATATAATGTTTCTTATTTATCAGTTGTTCCTCTACTCTCTTTGTTCACCTTGAACTTGTTTGTCCTTGTTTTGAAATGTTGAGAATGAAATCAAAAGTATTTTTATTATATTATACGAACGAGACAAAACCGAGAGTCAGAGACTATCCTTCGCTAGCCTTTCCTCAGTGCTTTCATATGGCCATGAACACTTGTAAACCTGGCAGACCCATCTTCTTTGAACATTGTGACATGATTTATCAAAGCTTCACTCGAGTTGCCCCCCCCAAATGCAACTGCTGTTTAAGTGCCTTAGCAGGGATTCAATCAAAATCTAGATTTTCCACACGTGTTGAGCTTCTCTCACCAGCCCAAGAATGTTAAGTGGTGGACCTTATAACTTGAAAGAACAACATAATCCAAACTCTTTTGGTATCATATCCCTGAGTCTGCCACCTGTGTCCACCTGATGACTCGGACACTATCCGAAGAAGAAAGAAGCTGTATGTACGGAGAGTGTCCGAAACGCCCCTGTGTAGCCGAGTAGCCGGAGAGCTGCAGCTCTCGCAGTTTTTTTTTCTCTAAGTCCCATTTCATCATATACCCCCCTACCCACTTCACCAGCTCACCACCACGTACCACCGCTTCGACTAAATGCCTAGCCCACCACCTCACCAGCAACCTCACCACCCAAAGAAAACTCACCACCTCACCGGTAATCTCACCACCTAAACAGAAACCCACTACCTCACCAGCAACCTCACCACCTAAACAGAAACCCACCACCTCTCGACACACCTCACCACCTAAACAAAAACTCACCACCTAAACGAAAACTCACCACCTAAACAAAAACTCACCACCTCTTGACAAACATCACCAGCCCATCATTAACCTCACCAGCTGTAGTATAAGACAATACGTACCTTCCACATCACCACCCGATTTCGTATCTCCCTGCTCAACAACTCAAGCCCTTCCAGGCTCCACCATCACCCAAATCGACTCTTTGGCATTCAACACCCTTGATATACGTCAAATGCCGTCAGCTCAGAAGCGTTTGAAGAAGGCCACAGGCACCCAAACAAGACCTCGGCGATCTCGTCGTCAGCGTCGCGACCAGGAATCTCCAGGTGAGTTTTAACAGAACTGAATCTTCACCACCAAAACTTCAAAACGACTCACACTATCATCATACTTTTATGAACGTGTTCACAGACCATAGCACCGATAGAGAAGATGAAGATACTTCTGAAGACAGCAATGAAGGGGATGATACCGATGAAGACAACCAGCAAGACAAAGAAGACCTCACTGTCGCCAACGTCGTACTTCCCACTTTAGCAAACTATGCAACTTTAGGTGTTGATTGGACTGATGCTTATTTAGAAAAAGTACTTGCCAGCCGCAAGATTGGCTCAAACAACCGGCCTTCAGCCAAGATCCTCCTGGAAGCTCAAGCTCTACAGGACAACTTCCAACGTTCACTCAAGATGCTGAGTCTGGCTGGACAGATCAGCTATCCCACCTTGAAGGCAGCTCTGTAAGTCGTTTGTCAAGCCATCCACATGAATAACTCAAGACCTTATATTCATAATCATTTGTCTAGGTTCCTTGGACCTAGCCAACGCGCTACCACATTGTATGATACCTACCGAGCATACAGTAAGAAGAACACACAAGAAACAGCTAGTAAGGTTATCTACCTCAATTCCATATGCTACAAATCATGACTAACCCAATGATGTTACCAGTGCCAGCTCGCAACACCCGTCCCGGCTTCGCACCACAAAACAAAGTCATTGGGAATACATGGACCAATCTCAATATTTGACAAAAAGCAATATTCAATCCGCCGTTTTTCAAACGATTGGCCGAGGCCGTATTAGAGCCGGATAGTGTTCCTCGTTCAACAGAAGAGAGTTCACAAGAAGATCTCGATGAAGACCCCCTCAACCCCTCCAATATAACTTCCTATGTCCCTATATTCTGAGAGCTAGTCAATATGAATAAGGTAAAACGCCACTTCGAACGTCGATCTCTTGGCATGCCACAGAGTGCACAGAGTGAGAAAAAAAAGGTCGTCTTGAGGTTAGCGGTGTGGTCAAACAAGTAAGCTAATGACTGGTCATTTGCTGAAGATCTCCGTCACTAACCTTCATATGAAGCTTCATGCGCTGCACACTCAGTTTGACATCGAATTCCATCTGCTTGTCTCCTCTTTCAACCCACGGACAAAACTCGCCAAAGCTCTCTGGATGGACGAATACACGTCATGTGATCGATGGGCACAGTTGGTCCAATCTGAGCATCATCTACTCAAAAATTTTGCCAAGGAGGCCACTCAATGCCCGCGGGATGTTTTCACAAAAAAAAAGAGACAAAAATCAGACCTCCTGCTGCCAAGGAGCAAACCCGATTGCGCACTGAGCTAACCTCGCGTCTCAACCAGTTGGTTGGTCAGTAGAGTTTTCTTTAAGTTTTTTTCAAACAAAATGACTGACTGATGCATCTCCTCTTGATAATTCAGAAACCCAACTTCCTTACCCACCCCGACCAGGAGTTGATATTCACCCTAAAGGGCCAAGATGCGACTCGTTATTAGCAGCAAAGAAATTTCTTCAAGGAGTACGGCTCCAGGTTCATCGCACTCAAGACTGCCAAATCACCGATGCAGTGCTCGAGAAAGGCGCTGCACCAGGGAACATGAGTGTTCAACAGGTTCGACTATGGCTGAAAGAGATTGCCGATTTACGCTATACAGTCATCCTGGCAAGTCCACCCCAAGCCTCTGCCTCTGTGTGATAATCTCCCGATTTGTAATGAAGCCGCGCATTATAATTTTTTTTGTTTTACCGTGATATCTCAAAGCCACTGAAAACATACAATAAAATTTCTGTTACCTGTTATACAATCGAAAGACCGTTTCATTTTTGTCAAATCTTGTTTTCCTCCTTTTATACTGATACATAGTAGGTCATTCACTTAGTCATTTCAAATTGAAATCATACTATACAGCTGAAGAAGTATACAAACTGTTTGAAGATATGGGTCAAACACCGTGAGGAGTAAGCAAATTTGAGATTTCAGGCTTGAGTCAAGCGCTGGAAAGCCTCGGGGCAAGTAGAGCCACGACCCGAGGCTAAGCCCAAGTCGAGGCTGCATGGAAGTGCTTCAAGCAGCCTCGACTTGAGAAAGCCCCGACCCAAGCCTGATCAAGGGTCGGGTTGGGGATTTCCCACATTCACCAAGACCGAGTGATTCATCAACTTGTGTTCACCTTTCATCACCAGCTCACCATTCACGAGTTCATCACCAACCAGTCCACGGTCGACCGATCAATCAGTCACCCATCCAATCAACCTTATCTGGAACACATCGCCACACAACTACCCAGCACCATTTCATTTATATGGCGTGTCCCCTTTGGATAGTTATGCCTGTTCCACCAAAGATCAAGGTCAAGGTTGTCACAGATCCCAAAACAGACCGAAAGACGATGGACAATTACGTTAAGGAGTTTGTAATACGACACGGCTACAAAATCACGATCTCACACTCTACACATGACGCGACCTGCAAATTGTGTCATTATGACTGTCATCAAGGCGGAAATCCAGCCCGTCCCAAAATCAAGCAGATCGACAGCAACACTCCACCTTGCTCTACCGAATCAGAAAAACCACATGTCACCCGGTCCATCAAGATTCAGTGCCCTTTCCGTCTGACCGCCAAGCTTGATGAGACTACTAACACCTGGGTTCTTCACCATGTTCGAGTTGGTCACAATCATGGACCGGCGGACACAATAGCTAACCCAAAATCTGTAGTAAGTTATTTTCACCGACTTCTTCTCACATTTTGCCATCTCTTTTAATTTGGTCAACAGACACACCCTACTATAGTTCATCCGCCGGAAACCCACGATCATGGACCAGCGGACACAGAGGAAAACCAAAATTCTGTAGTGAGTGTTTTTTACCAACTTCTCACTTTGTTCCATTTGTTTTAATCTGGTCAACAGACACTCCCTACCATAGTTTATCCACCGGAGATCCACAGTTGCGCAACCCGCATTCAACAACTATCACCAAGAAGGCAGATTATTGTATTGGAGGAGGTCAACAAAATTATAGATCAGCGCAGTGCCATGCACTCGATTACAGTGAGATTTTCAAGCCAATTTTTGTTTGTGAACTTTTGAATTTTTGGCTGACAAACAACTATGAATTGTAGAGTCCTCTCATGGTCAAGGATGCTTCTCTTGATGAAGAAGAACTTGTAAGCATCAACCCAGCCTTCAGATGAATTGCATGTGCTGAATTTGACTTGTTTTATAGGACCTAGCGCTCAAATTTTTGAATGCTTTGGATGAAAGCGGTAGCGAGGGTGTAATTGAGTGTAACAATCCTGTAAGAATACATCTTTACCAACAGTAAGCCCCAAACCTCCTGTCTCACCGACTTTCCAACTATACAGACCTCTCCAGATAATGGACTCCTGGTCAATGATCAAGCTCAACTGGACAAAGAAAACCGGGCTCAACGTGAAGCAGATGAGGAAAAAACCAACAAAAACACCTTGGTCCAAGCAAAGATGGATGCGAATGAAAAAGCTGGTGAGCTCTCAGTGGATCAAGCAGAAAGAAATATGGAGAAAGTCGAAAACAGAATCGAGCCTTCCAAGGTGGTCTTTCTAGCTATATATATACATAAATGACTTGAAATTAATGGATTTTCTCTTTGGATAAATATACAGACCAAGCGTACAGTATCAAGGACTGCGAGCAAAGGACGAGCTACTCAGAATAAGAAACTGGCTAAGTCTAAGGATTCGCATCCTCAAGCTGAAGAGATGACCGTGTCTCGGACCACTCGTTCAAGAGCCCAAAGAAGTCCACGTGCAGCTCGATCTAGTGGTCGCATCAAACACAAGACTGCATGATTTGTTACTGTAACTGTTATTGTTTTTTTGTCTTGGTTCTTTGTTCCTTTGCTTTTTTTGTGTTGTGTGATTAGTAGATGTATCTATCAGCAAGCGAATAGTTGTGATTCAACTTTGGATAATCAATTCAATCTCTACAACTGGATAGTTACTCTGGGTAGTTGTTCAACTTGGAATGCGAAAAATTTGTTAAGCTTGTCACTTGAAAGTGGGAAAGTGGACTCCCGAAAAACACATAGCAATCTTCATCCTTCACAGGTGATAGTACGAGTTATAAGTGATCAACTGTGCGCATCTCATTTTGACTTTCCTCGTTGAGTTTGATAATTTAATCGTGAAAGACTGAAAGAACTCCCCCAATTTTTAAAGGGCCTCTTGTCTAGCTCTCCGTAGAACAAGGTAGCTGGAAAAGTTTACCAAAGAAGGGTGATATGAGCACAAGCATTTATAATTTGTAGGTTTTCATGCAAAATAAATCAGCTATCACCACTGCCCTGACCATTAGAGGAAAATCATTCAATTTTATGGCTGATTGAGGTGAATATGATTATATCAATGAGCAAAAACAAATACATCTTTACCCCCGAAATATGCACAACTAAAAAAAAAATTCAACAAAGACGGCGAGGATTATATGTTGTTGATTGCAAGTCACACTTCCAATTATTAACCAGAACTGACAAGTGAGAGAACTGCACTTTGGCGGACTCAAGTCAGCCAACTGTAAAGACTGTAATGTTGTCGTCTTTTCAACATTACTACTGACTAACTATAATAGGCCAAATATTCCAACAACTATGTTATTAACAGTTGTTTTTCTAATGATTGAGGTGAATATGATTATATCAATGAGCAAAAACAAATACATCTTTACCCCCGAAATATGCACAACTAAAAAAACAATCTCAACAAAGCCGGCTAGGATTATATGTTGTTGATTGCAAGTCACCCTTCAAATTATTAACCAAAACTGACAAGTGAGAGAAATCAAAACAATTCGTTCATTACAAGTTTTTCAACTTTCTGGAAAATTCAAACACTTGATTATAAGTAGTAGATTGAATGAAATGCCCATTCAAAGGCGGGTTGCGCATCAAAGTTATATAACTGAGTCTGAGAGTCGTGTCACATATATCATTGGAATGTCTGATGTTAATCGGATGAAGATATAACAACATCATAATGATTTAAATACCCAACCAAACAGCCATCATTTCAAGTAGTTTGAAAGTACAACATGGGTAAAGGTAAGGGCTTTTAACAATATTGTATATAACTTGGCATGCTGAGATAATCTTATTATTGAACAATCAAATCATATATGGTCAAGTTATACATTTTACTGTCCAGTAGGAAGATGAACAATAGTTATGGCTTGCATCATCTTACTGGTCAATGATAAGATGAAAAACCAGACAGTTAGTTTCATCTATCAAACAGCAAATCTATTTTGATTGAGGAGTTGAAAGTCAGCAAACCTGACCAAGAATACTTTGTGGTGTGTGTGCATGCTTGCGCAAGAAATGCCCAAGACCATTACTTAGACTTGAGCACCCGTTTGGCCAAATACCAAATGCTTTGTATCATGGTTTATACCATGATCAGAAAAAACTACTGACTTATCCCATGAACAGAAAAATCAATTGATCACAATTGATTAATAGGTAAACAAGGTACAGATTGTCTGAGACATTGTGTTTGTGAACACAGGCTATACAAAACAAAGACCATTGTTGATCACAAAAAAGGATCAGGACCCTTGAAAAGGTTAAGGACATTTGTCCACAAGTTTTCATCTTCACCTTTACCTCAAAGTTAAGCGGTAGTACCAGTTAAATGGCTTGATCACAAAACCGGATCAGGACCCTTGAAAAGGTTAAGGACATTTGTCCGCAAGTTTTCATCCTCACCTGTACCTCAAAGTTAAGCGGTAGTACCAGTTAAATGGCTTGATTCAGGATAAGAAAATCACCGAGTTATATCATTCATTCAGGTAAGATATCAGGTATCAGATGAGGAACACAGTTTCCTATGTAATCAATTGGACCCGACAGAATGGGAGAGGCGAAGATCTTTTCAGAAACAGCCTCTGTATTGATGTATCCTAATTGGGAAGAATGACAGGGGACATAGCTTGCTTTAGGCTGAGATCAGACAGGAATGGCAAATTTTTTATGAAATATTGTGGAGGCTGATCAATCAAAACAGTGAATCCAAACAGTTAGTGGACAAAACGGTCTTTCAATACTTTCACATATCCTTTGATCTTCGATCATGGCCGGAAAACGAAAAGCCCCCTCTTTCAAGGGTGTTGGCAAACTTCCTAAAAACGCAACTGACCTTCAAAAGCTTGTACACGACCGCAGAAAGACAGAACTAAAGGAAACTAAGCGTCGACTCCAAAGCTTGCTTGGACAATCATCTTTGTCCGACGGAACTTTTGCTCCTCGCAACAAAAATACCGGAGACAATGACTTAACACTGGATGATACTCACGATGATAACTTCGGCCCACCGACGCAAGAGGACTCAGGCGGCTGGATGGACATAGACGAGCCGATCCATGGCGACGACATGGTAGTCAAAGAGGAAGATCCCCTAGTCACGTTGCTCAACAGTTCGTATGCTCAGGCTCGAAGGCTGGAACAAGAAAAACGCTGGATACGACAGTACCAGCTGAACCTCCCAATATTTTTGGCCTGCCGAGATCGTACCGCGAACTGGTGCAATCCAAGTGAAGCTCTGCGTGATGCTAAGCCTCCATGTGAATGCCGAGGGAAGGACCGTAGTATACGATTAGTGGACTTGCTTGATGTTTCATGTGAGTTAATCAATGTCATTGCCTTCAGCTCTCAACTTCAAGTAGATGTTGACTGTCGTAATGAGAACAGCCCGAACCCAGCGAGCCATCAATTTTTGTGCCTGTCAAAGTGACCAAGGTAGATTAATCCAAATGGGTTATATGGGAGCTTCGCCTGTACACCCTAGGACAGCATTCAGTTTGGGTTTGCTTCGCATACATCATATCCTCTGGAAGTACTGCTGTGTCCGGACTGAGCCGTTTGCCCTGGCTCTAGATGAGTGGCTAGACGGGTTTTGCCCAGTGATTACCTCCAAAAGAACCAATCAGGTGAGTGGACCAATTCATCTGAGGTATGGATATTTATGATCTATCATCTAACTGCTGTACACTTTCTTGACCAAGGCTCGGGAGTGGAGAAAACCCCTGAGTGCAGCAGCAGATGCATATCGAAGGCTGATAACGGCTGTTCGAAAACGGGAGCTTATTCTACTGAAACTCAATGAGTTAGACAAACTCGCGGCCAACTGTCCACGGTGCTTTGGACCACCTGCTCCTGATGCCAAAACAGAAGCATTCGAGCCCGACTTCATATGCTGCTGCGATGGCAATTTTCAGCATAGAAGGCATCTTGCTGCGAGTGTACCTATCCCTGGACTCAATCCCGAAACGCCGGAACTCTTCATCAAACCAGAAAAGGTCGAATCGATGGCTGAACTCATACAGAAGACTGGTCCTAAATCAAAAAAAGACCATGAATATGTGGTACATCCCCAGGCCTGATATCCAGAAATCAATTCCACGTTCCAGAATCCTAATTTTTTCTGATCTCTTTTATCCCTGGTAGGATCCTTGTACAGCGCAACACACCGCAGCTGATGATGTGCGGGACAAAAATCATTGGAGCGGAAATGATGATACGGGCTTGCTCGGCATGGCGTGTCGCCACGATCATGTTTTAAAATTTGCAAACATAAAACAAAGTGGTGAAAAGTACCCCGATGGTCTTTTTGCAAAGTGCATTCAAAGGTAAACTGATCAATTTTGCTTTCTGTAGGAGTTGTTTTGCTCTTGCGTTGGTGGAATGGTTGTTGGAGGTGACTGATAACCGAGGATTGGGTGCGAATAAAGTTGGTTTGCTCTACGATATAGGGTGTAATATTGAAAAGGAAATCCTCAAGGTATGTCTGCTCAGACCTTGGTCGTACTTTTGTGCTCGTGTTGTCTCTTATTGTTTATTTGCATAACCAAGCGCAAACAATTTGCTAAAGCAAGAGGTGAAGGCCGGCTCAAATTTGGTACTAGCGTCTTTCACGCATATGTACACGAGTGGCTGTGTCAATTAGCTT